TCCATCCACCCCTCACCTCCTTCCCCATCCACAATCCCCTCTTCTTTCCTCATACACAGCTCCCCCCTTCTTCCCCCATCCACAGCTCACCTCCTCCCCCCTCCACCCCTCACCCCACCTCTTCTTCCCTCATCCACTCACCTCTTCTTCCCTCATCCACAGCTCACCCTTCTTCCCTCCATCCACAGCTCACCTCTTCTTCCTCCATCCCCAGCCCCACCTCTTCTTCCTCCATCCACAGCTCACCTCTTCTTCCCCCATCCACAGCTCTCACCTCTTCTTCCTCCATCCACAGCTCACCTCTTCTTCCTCCATCCACAGCTCACCTCTTCTTCCTCCATCCACAGCTCACCTCTTCTTCCTCCATCCACAGCTCACCTCTTCTTCCTCCATCCACCCACAGCTCACCTCTTCTTCCTCCATCCACAGCTCACCTCTTCTTCCTCCATCCACAGCTCACCTCTTCTTCCTCCATCCACAGCTCACCTCTTCTTTCCTCATACACAGCTCACCTCTTCTTTCCTCATACACAGCTCACCCTATAAGGGACTCTCATTATAATACCGACCCGTGTGATGCCTTATAAGAGAATCTCATTATAATACCGACCCGTGTGATACCCTATAAGGGAGCCTCATTATAATACCGCCCCCCGTATGCATTATTCGTCTCTTTTCACGGCTCAGTACTTTGTATAAGAATCACTTTTCTTTTTCTGACTTTTCAGAACATTTCGGAGCGCTCCACGGCTCGTGTTCAGGTTTCCAATTCTTCTCTGAAACTTCAAGGCGTTGTGAAGTGCAGAGGGTACGTCTGCCACAGCAAGCCCAAGGTGAAGGATGCTATTCAGGTACGTTTGTAGATGTTTGAACCCAATACAGTGTGCATTAGAAGCTGCAGACCAATCATATAGAGCTCCGCCTCATTTCCTGGCTGGAGGACGTCCAGCATCATTTAGCGCTTTTCTCCCCGGCTTGGCTGTCCCTGGCTCTGCCCCTTTTATTCATTGGATTTCAGCCTTCTTGATCGGCATCACAAGAGGGTGCATATGTAGCCTGCCTAGGAACGCCCACGCCTCCAGACTGACACCCCGACCCATCAAGGTGTTTTTATAGTTACATAACTCCTCCCACTTGCATCAGGATTGAGAAGAACTGTGGCAGGGGGCTGGGATGTTTTCAGGAAGCTATGTACAGCACCCTGCCAGCCCCTCCCACCAGCCATGATCTGCCTGCATTACACAGAGAAGCACAGAGACCCAGTGATGTTATCACTGGGTCTAAAGTAAGATTTTTTTTTTTCTCTTTTAATTCTTTATTTAGACATTTTGCATTTACAAGGAAGTACCATCACACAGTAGGCATTATGGGTAAACATCACAGGAAACATTTACTATCGCATTATGACACAATGTGTCACAGTGTTCCAGGAACATTAGGCTAGATACACATTGTGTATAGTTACACATACAGGCGCACCTCAGTTTACGAATTTAATGCGTTCTCCGGGATGTTTCGTATTGTGAAAAATTCGTAAAGCGAAACGCGGTTTCCCATAGGACTGCACTGAAAACCAATTAATCCGTTCCGGAGGTCAGAAAAAAGTTTTTAAAAAAAAGTCACTGCCACTATAGGTCGGCGCCGGTTTTTAAATGTAATTACCGGCTTTTTTTTTTTTTCTTCACTACAGCTCAGAGAATCAGCTGTCACTTTCCCCCCCAGTTATAAGAGAGAGAGTTTCCTTTTAGTTTATTTCCCAGAGTTAAAAGAAACAAAGTTTCCTTTAGCTCCAGGGAAGGTGACAGCTAATTCTGTGAGCTATAGGGAAGAAAAAAAAAAAAAGTCGGCAATTGGATTTAAAAATCGGCACCGACATACACTTCGGATTGCGAAAAAAATTCTTAAATTTGAAAATTACGTTAACCGAGGCGTTCGTAAACTGAGGTCCGCCTGTAATTACATAGTTAGTCTGGCTGAAAAAAGACAAAAGTCCATCCGGTTCAACCATAAAAAAAAAAGAAAAGTTATACTCCTGCACAGGGGCGGACTGACAACTCATGGGGCCCCCGGGCAATAAGGGATCATGGGGCCCCTGTGTCCTTGCCCAAACTCAAAAAAGTCTATGAAAAAAGGTACCAGGGGCATCTCATGGGGCCCCCTACTGACCCCGGGCCCTCGGGTAGTGCCCGGGTTTCCAAATGGTCAGTCCTCCCCTGCTCCTGCACCCACAGTTGTCAGTCCTCCCCTGCTCCTGCACCCACAGTTGTCAGTCCTCCCCTGCTCCTGCACCCACAGTTGTCAGTCCTCCCCTGCTCCTGCACCCACAGTTGTCAGTCCTCCCCTGCTCCTGCACCCACAGTTGTCAGTCCTCCCCTGCTCCTGCACCCACAGTTGTCAGTCCTCCCCTGCTCCTGCACCCACAGTTGTCAGTCCTCCCCTGCTCCTGCACCCACAGTTGTCAGTCCTCCCCTGCTCCTGCACCCACAGTTGTCAGTCCTCCCCTGCTCCTGCACCCACATTTGTCAGTCCTCCCCTGCTCCTGCACCCACAGTTGATCCAAAGAATCTGTTACAGAAACTATTATAATGCCCCTCATACTGGAAATGTAAGTAAAGTAAGATTTCATTTAATAAAAAAATTAATAACTCTAAAATAAGTTATGTAATGAAAATGGAAACTTTTTTTAATCCCTTCAAAACCGGGCACTGTACCCCCCTCCCCCCCCCCCCTCCCTTCCTGCACAGCGCGCTGTCATACTTTGACAATTGCGCAGTCATGCAACACTGTACCCGTATGCCATTTTTATCATTTTTTTTCACACCAATACAGCTTTCTTTAGGTGATATTTAATCACCACGAAGTTTTCTATTTTTTACTAAATAAAACAAAAAACGCCTGAAACTTTTGGAAAAAAGCGCACTTTTCTTCATTTCTGTTATAAAATTTTGCAAATAAATAACATTTCTTCATAAATTTAGGTCAAAGTGTATTCTGCTGCATTTCTTTGGTGAAAATAATAAAAATAATTGAATTTGTATTTTTTTTTTTCAAATGTTTCTATTATTTTTTTTTTTGTTTATTACATTTTTTCTTTTTTTTCACAATTTTATTTTTCAGCACACTGAGACCAAAGTAATCCAGTGTTACCATAGTAACATGGAACTCCTCTGGGCGAGTGATCAGGATTTTTTTTGTGTAACACATTATGATCGCTGATACCGATGTATTTCATTGATATTTGCCATCATTTGTTACTGAATGAAACTGATTTATTCAGTCTTTTGTTGTGATTAGCAGTGATTGGGCAAAGCTGATCACATGATACAGATGGACTGTGATTGGCCCTGTCTGTATCATGTGACTGCCTTGACCAGTCACAGCTAACAACATAATTGTGTACAATGGATGGCGTTACAGGAAGCCATCCATTGTATACAACAGGGGCGGACTGACAACTCATGTGGCCCCTGTGCAATAGGGGATTATGGGGCCCCTGTGTCCTTGCCCAAACTCAAAAAAGCCTATGAAAAAGGTACCAGGGGCATCTCATGGGGCCCCCTACTGACCCCGGGCCCTCGGGCAGTGCCCGAGTTTCCAAATGGTCAGTCCGCCCTGGTATACAATTGATATGTGACCTATTGTGATTGGTCACCGCGGTCACATGACACTGGCAATGGACCGGTTTAGTGATGTCATTGGCTGTGTCCCGTGGACAGATCGCGCTGCTGCATGGCCCGTTTTGACAGGACGTCATATGACCCCCATCCACAACGCCGAGTGTCCCGCCCGGCCGTCAATTTGCTATATTAAAAACTACACCATTATGTTGATGGGGGGGGGGCGGTACCAGGGGAGGTAAAATATAGGCAGAATAAACTCCAGCTGTAATGATGACTTTTCCCGTTTGGTGATGATTGTATGGAGACCAATGTCAGTCTGTACTTCTGTAGGTCATAAAACGAGATCTCCTGAATACGATATCTGACCGATGTGATATAATGTTCGAGGATCTCCTGGTGAATCGATCCGAACGCGGTGAGCCTTTCCAGTCGCGTAGAATTTTGTGTCTTTTTGTTATCGCCATTCATGGATGACTCTACGGCCTTCTAACCCCCTCCAGGCTCCGGGAAGTCGCCGCGTCCGCTTCCCCTCCCCCAGCGGGTGTTTATCCCCGCCCCGGCGCGGTGCTGTGCGATTACATCATTGGAGAGGAGAGCAGAGAAGAGGTGCGGCAGAGGATCCTGGAGATGTTGGATCAGGAAGTGAATTATGAAGACTTGGATTTCGTGGAGGAGAAGGCGACTTGGCCCGGTGGGTGGTGAATACGACTCTTCTATTCCACTCTCCCGGTCAGCATGGAGTGTGTTCAGTCCTTCCGCTGCCGGCATTCCTGCATGGATGGGAAGGAAGATTAGATTTGGTTTAAACGCCTTTTTTTTTTTTTTTTTTAAGTTGCTTCCTGGTTTCTGGCCTAGGCCAAAATGTTGTCATGCATCCCAGGAGTCTTCATGGGAGGAGGGGCTTTCTCAGCTAAGCACACTCCCCTTCCTGCATGCCTGAGCTAGGGGGAGATGGATTCCAGAAAGTCAATGCTGCATGAATCATCTGCCCTTACTCATGATGGCCATGGCTAGAAATGCTGGGCGGGGGGGGGTTTCAAAGTGATTTCTCAGCAAAATAAAGCATGGAGACATGGGGGGGGGGGGGGGAATGGATGGGTGGGATGGAGAGATGGATGGATGGAAGAAGTAATGGATGGATGGATGGAAGAAGTAATGGATGGATGGAGATATTCATGGATGGTTGGAGACGTGGATGGATGGATGGAGATGATGGATGTGGATGGATGTGGATGGATGGAGATGATGGATGTGGATGGATGGAGATGTGGATGGATGGAGATGTGGATGGATGGAGACGTGGATGGATGGATGGAGATGTGGATGGATGGATGGAGATGTGGATGGATGGAGACGTGGATGAATGGGTGGATGGAGACGTGGATGGATGGATGGATGGAGATATTCATGGACGGATGGAGACATGGATGAAGATATGGATAGATGTAGACATGGATGGATGGGGGGGGGGGAGGGGAGAAAGGGAAAAAAGGAGGGGGGGGGAGGAAGGAGAAAGTGGGGGAGGGGGGGAGAGGAAGGGGGAAAGGGGGGAAGGGAAAAAAGGAGGGGGGGGGGAGAGGAAGGCGAAAGGGGGGGGGGAGAAAGGGGGGGGAGAAAGGCGAAAGGGGGGGGAGGGAGGAGAGGAGGAGAAAGGGGGGGGAGGAGAGGAAGGAGAAAGGGGGGGGAGAGGAAGGAGAAAAGGGGGGGGAGAGGAAGGAGAAAGGGGGGGGGAGGGGAAGGAGAAAGGGGGGGGGAGAGGAAGGAGAAAGGGGGGGGGAGAGGAAGGAGAAAGGGGGGGGGAGAGGAAGGAGAAAGGGGGGGGGGGAGGGGAAGGAGAAAGGGGGGGGGGAGAGGAGGAGGAGGAGAAAGGGGGGGGGAGGGGAAGGAGAAAGGGGGGGGGGAGGGGAAGGAGAAAGGGGGGGGGGGAGGGGAAGGAGAAAGGGGGGGGGGGGGGGGGGGGAGGGGAAGGAGAAAGGGGGGGGGGGGAGGGGGGAGAGGAAGGAGAAAGGGGGGAGAGGAAGGAAAGGAAGGCTGGCTACCGGGGAGTGGGGGTGGGGCAGACACAGGAGGAGACGGTGGGAGGAGGGGCAGTACCAGCTTTCTCTCTCCTTTGCTGTCTGTGGGGGGCGGGGGACATTCTACCCTGACAGATCCCCCGCAGCAGCTGCAGGGAGGGGGGAACCCAGTGGCAGCGCTGCAGGAGATGAGGGAGGCCTGTCGTGGTGGGAGCATGCAGGAGCCCATGGCAGCAGGAGATGAGGGAGGCCGTCCACTGAATGCCTGCAGGAGGGAGAGGAGGAGAAGCGGTCATTCAGTGGCGTCAGGAGAGAAATGCACGGTCTGGTTCCTCTATATGCCGCCCGGTCTCCCCTCTTATCCAGGTGGCGCCGGCCCACCAGGCAAGTGCCCATTGTGCCCTGTGGCCAGTCCGGGCCTGACATATTAGTAGTATATTTTTCTATGTATTTTGTTTATCAAATTATCTTTTTTTTATATTCCTAAAAGAAGGAGAAACTCTTTGTAAAACAAGGAACCCATCACGTGATCAGAAGAGTCCAATGAGAAAAGATCTCCCGTCATCATATTTCTCTCCAAGCATAGGTCAGTGTTCACCTCTCCCCTGCGGGGGATCTCTGTACATTGCAGGGACTTCACAAGAGAAGTATGGCAGTAAAGCGTTTTCTGGCCATACTTCTCTTTTGGGTCACAGGGGTACTTTTGTGTTTTCCTGTCACCCAGAATCAGCCGACATCACAGAGCCACCCCACACTCTGGAGGAATCCCGACAATGATGTCGGGATCCACCCAGATACCTTACAGGCCTCTCAAGAGCCTAAGTCAGCCTCTCCCTCCCCTGCCCGGCAGTCTAGTGAGTGAGCAGAGCAGAGAGTGGTGTCTGCTCAGAGAGGAGGAGAGAACTGAGTGATCAGTGGTCATGTGATCGCTCAGTTCTCAGGGTTAGAGCACAGCTGCAGCACTGAACCGACGCTGCATCCACCTTGGCGGTTATATATTGTTTTTTATATTTCTCACACGTCTCCTTTAACGCACTCCGTAGCAGATTCTGACCTTTTGTTGCTCTGAAGAAAAAGCTCTTTGCTTCCCCGCGTCCTGCGCAGACCGATTCTGAATGGGAAGTTCTGCATCATTCCAATCACCTGGTGCACCCTCGGTGTTCTGATGGGAAATGCTGCAGGGTCTGCATCCCTTTAGATGTATTTAATGCTCATTTAAACTGCTAATCACCATCAAATCCTTTGGGGGGGGGGGGGGGGGGGGGGGGGAGTCTGTTGAAGGTCAAAGGTCATTCACATCTGTTTTGTGTCCAATCCTCCTGCAGGGGGCAGTATGACCCGACAGTGAATGACGCCCCTCAGAGGAAGAGGCAGGAATTACAATTTTGTTAGTTGTACTTTCGGTTTGTGGGGAGAGAATACAATCGATGTTATGTTGGACGTTGATAATGTATGACACAAAGCAGCGTTCTGGAATTGTGGAAGAAATCGTTTTCTGGTCGTTCTGCGTCCGTTTGGTCACCGCCTGTTTTCCAATAGATATCATCAGCTCCATCTAGTGTCCAAAATGTGGAACATTTGCTCATTGAGGTGATTTAGAAAACTGTGCTGCATTTTGGCCACTAGACGGCGCTGATGAAACTGGAGTTAATCGATTGGAAAACTTCCCATGAAATGAGTTCAGCTTGCTGGAAAGTTTCTGACATTTTGTGTAACGAGCCGATTTATCAATAGAATGTGAGATTTTCTGTTTGTTTCTGATTATATTTTGTAGTCATTTCATTCACCCTTTTTTTATTATTTCAGGGATTGTAATCGCAACGTTTGTTGTGCTCCTCGCAATGCTGGTGTATTTACTAAAAATGAAGAGAAAGGAATAACGACCACAAGACACGGACCGGGGAAGAATAACGACCACAAGACGCGGACCGGGGAAGAATATATATATATATATATATATATATATATATATATTATATATATATATACAGAGAATATCTGATACTGACAGACAAATGTCAGAACAAGTTCATCAGTTATGTATTCAATAGGAAAACCATTAAATTATTTTATTACAGAGAAATAGTCTAAGTGCCTGAATCTGTTCTCATATTACCCGCCTGCAATCCCCTTCACAGAAGCCCATATTAGCCACCTGCAATCCCCTTCACAGAAGCCCATATTAGCAACCCGCAATCCCCTTCACAGCAGCCCAAATTAGCCGTCCGCAATCCCCTTCATAACAGCCCATAATAGCTGCCTGGATTCCCTTCACAGCAGCCCATAATAGCTGTCTGCAATCCCCTTCAAAACAGCCAATATTAGCCGCCCGCGATCCCCTTCACGGCAGCCCATATTAGCCGCCCGCACTCCTCTTTTACAGCAGCCCAAATTAGACGTCCGCAATCCCCTTCACGGCAGCCCATATTAGCCACACACACTCCTCTTTACGGCAGCCAATATTAGCCGCCTGCAATCCATTCACAGCAGCCCAAATTAGCCGTCCGCAATCCCCTTCATAACAGCCCATAATAGCTGCCTGGATTCCCTTCACAGCAGCCCATAATAGCTGTCGGCAATCCCCTTCATGGCAGCAAATATTAGCCGCCCGCAATCCCCTTCACAGAAGCCCATATTAGCCGCCTGCAATCCCCTTCAAAACAGCCAAAATTAGCCGCCCGCGATCCCCTTCACGGCAGCCCATATTAGCCACACACACTCCTCTTTACAGCAGCCAATATTAGCCGCCTGCAATCCCATTCACGGCAGCCCATATTGGCCGCCCGCAATCCCCTTCACAGCAGCCCATATTAGCTGCCTGCAATCCCCTTTACGGCAGCCCACAGACTGGGAAGTATTGAGTTTGTGAGGTGCTGTCTGTGAACATGCCTACAGGAGGGGGAAGTAGAGGGAGGACATACATGGTCTTCTGCTTCTCCTTCATTGTCTGACCAATAGCAGACCCAGGAGAAGATTGTATTGGTTGACAGAAGTGTAGTCTGCAGGTGGTGGGGGTTGAGGATCTGACTGTGCTGTCTGGCAGGGTGGACAGATTTACCAATCCTCGGACAGCAGAGTGTGTATGTATGTGTATCCTGTATTGCATTGTTTGCCAGGAATTCACATTCTTTGTACATTTTATTTATATATTTTCACCATTTTTGTCTGTTTTATATGATCGTCCCGCCTCCAAAACACTGTCCTGCCAATGCTAGGAATATTTATTATGGCTTTCTCCTTGTGTGTGATAAATCTAGAAATGAGCCTAAACCAACAGACATACACTTCACAAGGACAACAATGCGCCCCTGCATAATGGCATCATCATGGAGGACTGACCTCCTCCTTACCCGTGAGGCCAGCACCATGTATGCAGTTGTTTTGGTGTATCTTTGTATCTTGGGGTATACGCACTATTCACTATGTTCTTGTATTATTCTGCCTAAAAAGTCCCAGTTTCCATTTTTGCAATTGCAATTTTGGGATGTTGGCAGGATGTCACATGATAGTATATCACTCGACCCGGTATCTTCTATACTCAACAGGGACACTACCAGACTATACTGTGACCATATAGAGCAGGGGTCTCCAAACTTTCTATGCAAAGGGCCAGTTCATGGTCCTTCAGGCTTTTGGGGAGGCAAGACTGTAGCTGGTAGAAGTACAAAACGCCCTGCTGTCTATGGGGGTAAGCGATACCCCATAATTAATTTTAATGCACCATTAGTGCCAGGAGTAGTGCCCAATTGTTGGTGGTGTCTTTGGTAGGAATGGTGCCCCATGGTTGGTGTCTTTGGTAGGAGTGGTGCCCCATGGTTGGTGTCTTTGTTAGGAATGGTGCCCCATTGTTGGTGTCTTTGGTAGGAGTGGTGCCACATTGTTGGTGTCTTTGGTGGGAATGGCGCCCCATTGTTCGTGTCTTTGGTGGGAATGCTGCCGCATTGTTGGTGTCTTTGGTAGGAATGGTGCCGCATTGTTGGGGTCTTTGGTAGGAAATGGTGCCCCATGGTTGGTGTCTTTGGTAGGAATGGTGCCGCATTGTTGATGTCTTTGGTAGGAATGGTGCCGCATTGTTGGGGTCTTTGGTAGGAATGGTGCCCCATTGTTGATGTCTTTGGTAGGAATGGTGCCCCATGGTTGGTGTCTTTGGTAGGAATGATGCCGCATTGTTGATGTCTTTGGTAGGAAGGGTGCCCCATTGTTGGTGTCTTTGGTAGGAATGGAGCCCCATTGTTGGTGTCTTTGGTAGGAATGGTGCCTCAACTTTGGTTTAGTGGGAAGAATAGTGTTCTAATGGCCGGATAAAGGCAAGCAAAGGGCCACATTCAGCCCCTGGGCCGCAATTTGGAGACCACTGATAAAGAGGTTCATGTTGCGAGCATCAATACAGAGGTAGGCCATGGCATTCAAGCATTGATTGAGAGACACTCCATGCCGTCACTCCCCCAGCTTGGATTGTGGACACAAGGCAGGTCCAGTCTGTGGCTTCATGCTGTTGATGTATTGAAGTTGCAGCGGTTGTGCCGCCCTGAAGAAGACTCATTGGGGGAAACATGTTAGGACTACTCGCCAATTTGCCACCGCAAAAATGAGGGCAAGACCATATGCAGTTCCAATAATGGTTTTTATTGTATAACATATTTAATGCGAGAGAAAATAAACAACTGTTACATTTTAACAGTACTTGATACTATATTTGTTTGCACCATTAAAGTCCCAGAATCACCTTCTTTGGAAAAATTGTCAAATTCTAAACCTTACCATCGGTGTGCTTCAGCAGATGTTGAGAGTTCTCAGACAGTCCTTCTAGGACAGGCATATTGGGATGGGACTCCCGGAGCCTGGTGATTTGGATGGTGATGGCTGTATCAAAGCTGTTTTCTGCCCAAGAAGCTGTGAAAAAAAACGCCAGCCTTAGTCAGGTAGGAGTAGGTGGGCCTAAGATAGAGCTAGAATTGGATGCAGAGAGAAATAAAATGGGGTTCTGCTCCGATGCAAGGCAAGCATGATCAATCAGCAGTCAAGAAGAGTGTTCTGCAGTCTTCGGTGGAGCAAATGTTGCCTTGAGTTTATGCCCTGGTTCCCTAGTGGCTGATTTCCACCATGGTCATCAGCGAAGGTATGAACCAAAGGGCTCAAAATACAGGGGGTGGGACGCTGGGGGGGGAATAGGAGGTAAAGGTCACTCTGAAGACACGCTTATGTTCCAAACTGTACACACCCCTGTTCCTTTAAGTCGGTTTAGGAAGAGAGAAGAGAACCAGTAGTATGAATGTGAGCAATTTTATGACATATAATGTGAAAGGTCTGAACACCCGTCCAAAAGGCATAAGATCCTCAGAGAACTCTATCACCATTCCATTCATGTTGTGTTTTTGCAGGAGACGCATTTACTTCAGGATACAAATGTTAAGCTTCTATATTTCTAAACATTATCCAATATGGTATCATGTGGACTCACTTTTTTTTTGCTACCCCTTTTGCTCGTTTTATTGGTAAGATTTAGTATGTAAGACAGAATGGTAGAGCCGGAAGTCCGCTACTTATTTCTGAAAGGGAAATTACAAGGAATAGAATGTACATTAGCAAATATTTATTGCCCTAATAGGAACGCAATAGTAGATCTGGAGGGTCTATTAAGAAAACTTTTGGACTTTAAAAAAGGTTATCGAATTGTGGCCAGAGATTTAAATTTTTGCATGGACCCTTGGATGGACATGTCCTCACGGGGACAGAGGTACATCTAAAGTCGGTCAAAAAAAAAATGTTACATCAATGTCACTTGATGGATTCTTGGAGAATTAAACATCCAAGAGACAGAGACTAAACCTTCTCTCCCACACATGGGATGTACTCAAGATTAGACTATATAATGATAGAAGAGTCTTTGGTTAATTCCAAAACTGAGATAATGTCACTATCAGCCCCTGCACCTGTCACAATGAGATCAAGGTGGGGAAGGGAACAGAAGTAGCACGTGGAGATTAAACGAGGCGCTTATACAGGAAGCTGAAATGGAGAAAGGGATTAAAAGAAAAGGAATTAGAGCAATATTATATACATAATGAGACTGAAGATGTATCTGTCGCTACAGCCTGGGAAGCACATAAGGTATATATCAGGAATCCTGATCTCAATAGGGGCCGAAAAAAAAGAAAGAACGGGGAAAGAAAATAGGATTACTAATTGAAGAACTACTGTATGTGATTTAGAACATCTACATAAGGAGAAACTAGAAATAGAGATACAACAGAAGATACCGTATTTTTCGCTCCATAAGGTGCACTCTGTGAATGGTAAGGCGGCACCTGGGACACATGACAGGTCCCAGAAGCCACCGGACCAATCACAAAGCGCAGCGCTTCTCGCTCATGAGCGCACTGGGCACCCGGCTGTCAAGTAGAGGAACAGGTAAGGTCCCACGGCAGAGCGGACACTAACCAAAGAACAACTCCGCGGAAGTAAGAGCAGGTACCTGTCAAATTCAGGTACGCACTCACCCTCCCTCCCCAAAGGTCAGCAGTCATCTCCTGTACTGTGTCCGCAGTCTCTGGTCATCTCCTGTACTGTGTCCGCAGTCTCTGGTCATCTCCTGTACTGTGTCCGCAGTCTCTGGTCATCTCCTGTACTGTGCCCGCAGTCTCTGGTCATCTCCTGTACTGTGCCCGCAGTCTCTGGTCATCTCCTGTACTGTGCCCGCAGTCTCTGGTCATCTCCTGTACTGTGTCTGCAGTCCATTGGTTTAGAATATTTTTTTTCCTGTTTTCTGCCTTCAAAACCTAGGTGCGTCTTACGGTCAGGTGCGTCTTATGGAGCAAAAAATACGGTAATTCAAAAAAGAGAAGAGCTAAAAGATTTAATGGAAC